TAGTCCTAGGCTTGACGAAAAAGACTGGGGGCCTAGGCACACGCTGGGGCAGGGGCAGCGGCAGCGATGCCAACAGTGGGAAAAATCGGCAGCGCGGATTTGTGCAGCTGGAGGCCCGTCGGGGAAAATCGGCAGCGCAGATTTTTTGACGAACATGGGCTGGACGCTGGGCTGTCCAGGCCAGGCAGGAAAAATCGTCAAGGAATTGCGCTGCCGAAGCAGGGGCTGTTCAGCCACAGCGGGCAGTGTTGGAATCGGCAGCGCCGACGAAATCGGCAGAATCGGCAGAAGCGGCAGTCATGTGCTGACGATGATCTGGATGTTTATATCCTAGGCTGAACGAAATATGGGGGCCTAGGCAGAACGCTGGGGGGTCGGTGGGCAAGCGCAGGATGCCACAGGGGAAAAATCGGCAGCGCGAATTTGTGCATCTGGAAGCCCGTCTGGGAAATCGGCAGCGCAGATTTTTTGACGAACATGGGCTGGCCGCTTGGGCGTCCAGGCCATGCAGGAAAAATCCTCAAGGATTGCGCTGCCGAAGCAGGGGCTTGTTCAGGCACAGGCGGGCAGTGTTTGAATCGGCCAGCCGCGACGAAATCGGCAAAGTCGGCAGAGTCGGCAAGAAATCGGCATCCGGTGCTGACGATGATCCTGGACTTTGTTATAGTCTATGCTTGACGAAAAACTGGGGGGCCTAGTCACACGCTGGGGCAGGGGCAGGCGGCAGGCGATGCCACAGTGGGAAAAATCGGCAGCGCGGATTTGTGCAGCTGGAGGCCCGTCGGGGAAAATCGGCAGCGCAGATTTTTTGACGAACATGGGCTGGACGCTGGGCTGTCCAGGCCAGGCAGGAAACATCGTCAAGGAATTGCGCTGGCGAAGCAGGGGCTGTTCAGGCCACAGCGCAGTGCTGGAATCGGCAGCGCCGACGAAATCGGCAAAGTCGGCAGAATCGGCAGCAGGTGCTGACGATGAGTCTGGACTGTTTATAGTCCTAGGCTTGACGAAAAAGACTGGGGGCCTAGGCTCACGCTGGGGCAGGGGCAGCGGCAGCGATGCCAACAGTGGGAAAAATCGGCAGCGCGGATTTGTGCAGCTGGAAGCCCGTCGGGGAAAATCGGCAGCGCAGATTTTTTGACGAACATGGGCTGGACGCTGGGCTGTCCAGGCCAGGCAGGAAAAATCGTCAAGGAATTGCGCTGCGAAGCAGGGGCTGTTCAGGCACAGCGGGCAGTGTTGGAATCGGCAGCGCCGACGAAATCGGCAGAATCGGCAGCAGGTGCTGACGATGAGTCTGGACTGTTTATAGTCCTAGGCTTGACGAAAAAGACTGGGGGCCTAGGCACACGCTGGGGCAGGGCAGCGGCAGCGATGCCAACAGTGGGAAAAATCGGCAGCGCGGATTTGTGCAGCTGGAGGCCCGTCGGGGAAAATCGGCAGCGCAGATTTTTTGACGAACATGGGCTGGACGCTGGGCTGTCCAGGCCAGGCAGGAAACATCGTCAAGGAATTGCGCTGCCGAAGCAGGGGCTGTTCAGGCACAGCGGGCAGTGTTGGAATCGGCAGCGCCGACGAAATCGGCAGAATCGCAGAATCGGCAGCAGGTGCTGACGATGAGTCTGGACTGTTATAGTCCTAGCTTCAAGAAAAAGACTGGGGCCTAGGCACACAGCGCTGGGGCAGGGCACGAAGCGATGCCAACAGTGGGAAAAATCGGCAGCGCGGATTTGTGCAGCTGGAAGCCGTTCGGGGAAAATCGGCAGCGCAGATTTTTTGACGAACATGGGCTGGACGCTGGTGCTGCAGGCCAGGCAGGAAAAATCGTCAAGAATTGCGCTGGCGAAGCAGGGGCTGTTCACCACAAGCGGCAGTGTTGGAATCGGCAGCGCCGACGAATCGGCAAGTCGGCAAAATTGGCAGCCGGTGCTGACGATGAGCCTGGACTGTTTATAGTCTAGCTTGACGAAAAAGACTGGGGGCCTAGGCACACGCTGGGGCAGGGGCAAGCGCAGCGATGCCAACAGTGGGAAAATCGGCAGCGCGATTTTTGCACTTGAAGCCCGTCGTGGAAAATCGGCAGCGCAGATTTTTTGACGAACATGGGCTGGACGCTGGGCTGTCCAGGCCAGGCAGGAAAAATCGTCAAGGAATTGCGCTGCCGAAGCAGGGGCTGTTCAGGCACAGCGGGCAGTGTTGGAATCGGCAGCGCCGACGAAATCGGCAAAGTCGGCAGAATCGGCAGCAGGTGCTGAAGATGAGTCTGGACTGTTTATAGTCCTAGGCTTGACGAAAAAGACTGGGGGCCTAGGCTCACGCTGGGGCGCTGGGGCCTGGGGGCCTGGGGCCTGAGGGCCTGGGGCCCTTGGGGGCCCTTGGGCGCTTGGGCGCGCGCGCGCGCGGCAATGATTCCCACGCAGCCATGCTGTGCTGCGCAACGGGGGCTGACGCGGGGACAGCCCCTGCTGGCTTGCTATCTTGCCTGCGGGGGGGGGCTGCCTTCGGGCCCTGCCCCCCTGCGCTCTTTGCCTGCCCCCTTGCCTGCCCCCCGCGCGGGAGAGGCTGGGCACACGCTGGGGCAGGGGCTGCGGCAGCGATGCCAACAGTGGGAGAAATCGGCAGCGCGGATTTGTGCCGCTGAGGCCCGTCGGGGAAAATCGGCAGCGCAGATTTGTGCCCGCCGCGGAAAATCGGCAGCGCAGATTTGTGCCCGCCGCGGAAAATCGGCAGCGCAGATTTGTGCCCGTCACGGAAAATCGGCAGCGCAGATTTTTTGACGAACATGGGCTGGACGCTGGGCTGGCCAGGCCAGGCAGGAAAATTCGTCTAGGGGGTAGGCTCACGGCAGGGGGCTGACGCGGGGACAGCCCCTGCTGGCTTATCTTGCCTGCGGGGGGGCTGCCTTCGGGCCGGCCCCCTGCCTCTTTCCTGCCCCCCGCGCGGGAGAGGCTAGGCGCTGACAGGGGCCAGCCCGACGTCGCTGGCGCGGCATGCGAGCTGCGTGGATTTTCCGCAATTCCGCCAAGAAAACGTTGTGCGTTCCACATGAAAATCAATCCAGTAAAATCAGCCATATTTTTGTGAGGCTGCCAGCCGAATTTGGGGTCTTCCGGGCCGGTTCCTATTTTTTGCGTATTTCCTTGATTTTTAATGGTAGGAAAATAAAAAAAAATACTTTCCGGACCCGAAAAATTCTGGGATTATTTCTGGAGGTGGATTGGATTTTTGCCAACCTATGTGCAAAATTTCAGCTCAAAATACCAGAAATGAATTTTTTTAGAGGGGGGGGTGACAGCTTGGGACCTAGTAGTGTCTACCCCTGCCAGAGCTGCAATAACACTTATAGCTCTTTAGGGGGTGACCCCCGACCGGCCATGGGGCGCGCTGGCTGGCGCCCATAGGCCCTGCCGCGGGGGATTTGGGAGCTGCTGCTACACTCGGACTAACGTGGGGGGCCTCATGGCCCGAAGTAGGCCGCCATCGATGACCCGTTTCCTCCGGCGACGACCCGATTCCGGCCACCGTCCCCGGGACCCGCTCCAAGCCGTTGGGCGCGTTGGGGCTGCTTATCGCGGCGTGGCGTGGGGCCTTAAAAAGCCGCGCTCTTGCCAAGGTGCTGGCAGCTGCTGCGCGCCTCTCCTTGCCGCGATGTCCCGGCGGCGGGGGCTGATTCCGGCAACCGTCCCTGGACCCCGCTCCAATCCGTTGGGGGGCGTTGTGGCTGCTTATCCGCGACGCGGGCGTGCACGCACTCTGTTCCGCGCTCGTGCCAAGGTGCTGGCAGCCCCAACGCGCCCAACGGCTTGGCGCGAGTCACGGCTATGTCCGATTCCGGCCACCGTCCCCGTGACCCGCTCCAAGCCGTTGGGCGCGTTGGGGCTGCTTATCCGCGACGCGGGCGTGCCTGCATTCAGTTGTGCCACGCTCGTGCCAAGGTGCGGGCACAGCCCCAACGCGCCCAACGGCTGGTGCGCGACGTCCACGGCGGCGGTGGGCCGCGCCTGTGCTCGCAAGTTGGAGCCTGGCCGACGGTCTGGTGCGGACCGCCGAGCTTGGGGATTGCGAGGAGAGCTCTACGCTGGCGTGGGCGTGGCATTAAATTGCTGCGCGTGCGCCCATGTGTTGTTGGCTCTCCTCGCCATCCCCAAGCTCCTGCGCGATGTGCCCGCTGCCGAGGCCTGGCCTCCATCTTCCGAGCTGAGGCACAGATGGCCCCCCGAATGGTTGTCCATGTTTCTCCCCCCCCGCGGCCTGTCCCTTCGAGATCCGCCGCGTCCCCCGCGGCCTGTCCCTTCGAGATCCCCCGCGTCCCCCGCGGCCTGTCCCTTCGAGATCCCCCGCGTCCCCCGCGGCTTGTTGCGTGTCCCTTCGAGATCCCGCGTCCCACGCGGCTTGTTGCTTGTCCCTTCGAGGATCCTTCGCGTCCCCAGCGGCGTGTTGCTTGACCCTTCGAGATCCTTTCGCGTCCAGCGTGCGGGCACGATCTCTCTCGGGTGTTTCCACTTGCCCTCGTGGCCGTGGTTCGCTCGTCGGGATTGTTGTCGCGTGTACGCAGAGTCGCATGAGCGGTAATTGGGGCTGTCCGTGTCGGCAGGGCTCCGTGCTTGTGCACCGAACTGTCGGCCTGCTGCCCCCATCACTCTCAGCCCAAGGCCCTGGGGTTGCCTTGCGGCGAGGCGGGGTTCCTGTGCGGGCGTACCACACGTTCGGTGGAATTTGAATGTGAAGCTGTCCCTCTCCGCCGCGCCGCCTCCCGGGGGCGCGGGGCGAACCTAGCAGGCGGCGCCCGTGTTCCAGTCGAGCGGAATCCGCTGAACTGGCCCACGCGCGATCTGCTCGTGCTTTCGGATGCGGAACGCGATGCCGGCGCGGGGGCCTCCCCCCCGCGACAGTCCCGTTCGAGCTGCTCGTGCTCGGTAAGAACGACTTCCTCCTCGCCCGTCTCGGCCCTCGTCTCATCGGCGTCGGGGATCGTGCGGGTCGTGGTGTCGCCAAGGAATGCT